CGTGCGCGCTGAGTTTGTTGGCCGGAGGGGTGCTGTCTTTGTCCTTGTCCGTCAGGTGGTAGATCATGTGCGCCAGGTTCTGCGTGTTGCACGTCCCCAGGCGGCAGCCCAAGCGCAGGCTGAAGGTGTTGGTGTTCTGGCGGTACCGCTTCACGCGGATATGGCGCTCCTCGGGACTGCTGAGGGAAGGAGAACCGAGAGAGAGGCCGTGAGCCACGGACAGGGACCCCCAGCGACGTCAATTAAGAGGGCTCGCTCGCTCCTCTAGCGGGAAAGCAGAGCCAGGAGGCAGAAGCCTTCCCCCCACCCACCCACTGGTGGGCCAGCTCTGGAAGGCGGCCGGTGGACGGAGCGAGCAGGGAACCCCCTTCTAGAACTGCTCTGGTCATGAGTCGTCTAACCCACCCACTCACCCACCCGGCACGCGAGGAGCCTGAAGTTCTCCATCTCTCCATTAAGGCATCAGTCCCGTTCTTAACTAGGGAGTGAACGCCACTGAACTGACTACGGCTGACTTCCCAGTAAACAAGCAGAGGATCGCGCTTAGGGTTACTGCGCCGCGCTGGGAATATGTGCCTCCCCTTCACCTCTCCTAGAAAACTTGGGGCGCCACAGCCCTGCTCCTCCCTGCCGCTGGGCTCTGTCACCCGCCAAAATCTCTTCATGCTACCCAGGCCTCTTTCGCCCACCCTCCACCCCCACGGCCGCCCCGTCACCAGAGTCCGGGCCGGAGGGGCCGCCTTACCTGGGCTGCGACATTCCGGGCTCGCCTTTCACGTCCTGGGTGCGGATGAGAGACAACAAGCTTGCATCAGCCGCTCCTGCCGCGGTCAGCGTCGCGGCGGCGAAGGCGAGGTCCCGCCGGGCTCGCCTCTGCTCCCATTGGGTCCACCTGAAAAAGGCAAGCGAGGGAAACGCGGTGAGAGGACCGTCCGCCGCCGAGCCTCGAGGGCGGCGCTGGAGGGGAAAGCCGGCGGCCGGCGGGCTTTGCCCTTGGGAGGCAGGTCGCCCTTGGCCGAGGCAAGCCGGCCGGCTCCCCGCTGAGGAGCTGAACCGACCCAGTGCCCCTTCCCCCAGGCAGGCTACAGTAAAGCAAACGGAGCGATTCGCGACCCACTTGCCTCCCTCGCCTCAGTTCCCCGTTTGGCCTCTGAAAAGTGGACTTACTTTCTCTTGAAGTCTGACGCCAGGTCCAGCTTGGCAGCTTCCACTCCGAGAAAGGAGACGGAGCCCAAGTACAGCAGGGCGAGGGAAAGCACTTTCATCCTGGCCAGAGAGAGAGAAAGGGGACACATGATGAGTTTCCCCCTTCTCTAAAGGAGGCCACCCCCGCCACACGCCCGGTGCCCGCCAGGCAGGCAGGTCAGTCCCGACTACCATCGCTCCCCCTGCCTTCCCCAGATCATGCGACGCTCCTCGCGAATATTTGCTCTGCAATTCATCACGGCCAGGATCAATACAGGGAGCTTCCAGCGTTCACGTTTGTCAAGCTTTCGGTTTGCACAGGAGGGTGAAGGCTAAACCTCCCTCTATGCAATGCCTCGGTTGGCCAGACACAGTCTATATATAAAAACTGCATTCCCGTGCACTTTGACATAGGCAAATTTCCCCCACCCAACCCTCCGCGCTTCTCAAGACAAAAGTAGATTGCAATCATCATGCAACCACGGCCACTTTGTTTTCCCTGGACCCCACGTTGAATTTCTACGCCGAGCGCTGATTTAAGGGTGTTTGGAACAAACAAACAAAAAGGATTTGGATTTCCAGAAATAAAGAGTTGCACCCAGCTGGCACGCCGAACAGCCCTCACCTTTCGGTTTGATTAACATCCCCCAGCAGCTCCCTTTCAAGCGACCCCCTCTGCAGTTCAGTTCCACCCTCCTCTCCCCACATGCCTTTCTGTTAGAAAGAAGAAAGTGCAGACCTGGTACTGATGATAATCCACGGAGGTTGAGGACAGATCTTCAAAATGTCAAAAAAACAAAAAACAAGCACAGATCCTTCAGGGACTGCTCCGCTCTGAGACTTCCTTGCTCGCACCACTGAAGTTACAACTGACTGTCCGTCGCACTTTGCCTCTTTTATAAAGCCGGAGCAAGCGGGGAGGGGAGAGGTGGAGGGGCGGGACTAGGTGCTCGCAGATTAGCGGAGACCACGGGGGGCAGCCAACGATCGAAAATAAAAGCAAGATTAATTTCGCTTTGCACTGTTCGCCTTGGCATGAATTCCTTCCATGGGGCTTACACATAAGAAGAGCCCTCCTGAATCCTGGTCATACAGGCCAATACCCACTTTCCAGAAATGGACAGTCAGATGATGTGCCGGGGGAAATCATACGCAGGGCATGCAGGCGACAGATCTCTCCCATCGCATGCGCTCGTGCACCTGGTGCTCGGAGAAATACAGTAGTACTGACTGTGAACACAGAGGCTGTATGCATTTCCTATTCATCTTGTCTTGACTCTCTTTTCCTATACACTTAGGTACTTAATCTACGTTCTGCAACACACGTGTTAAAAATCTATTTTTAAAAATTTATCTGAAGTATCAGGGAGACGTACGTTGGTGCACGTGATGTATATCTGAAAAATAATATATACCAGTGTTGTCTTGTTATTCAATTTCAGCCTAGACATTTTGCATGAAGTCTAGGTTGAACTTCCACTCTATTCTAACAAGTTAGGATACTCTTTAAAAGGAGGGAGGGCAGAACAGGCAGGGAGGGGAGAAGCGCGAGGTTATACAGAATATGAAAGCGAGCTAGATTTCACTTCAGAAGACAAACGTCTCGGGTTTTTAATGGTTCTTTAATTACCGAATGGGAGACACCTGGAAGACTCAAGAGAAGGGTGGATTAGGTGAAAAGAGGTGAATGAGGACCACTTCGCCTGCCAAGGAGGATTACGGGCAGTAGTGCAGAGCGGATTAGTCAGCTGCATGTGAGCTTTTCTTTCCCCCCCGCCGCAGCCTGTGCACCTCCTCATTAGCCCGGTCGGCTGCTTCTCCAGCCACGAGCTTACGCTCAAATTCACACGTAGCCTCCTGGCTTGGCTTCCGAGCTGCTGGACCAGACTCAACCGGTCGGGTCTCTCCGGTGAGCCGGGCGCGTGCAGCGATGCAAAGCGGAAGGTGATATTGTCGCTCGGGGCTTTCCTTCGAATGCCCTTGCTGGCAAGGACTCTTACAGAGCAAAAGAAGAGACCTGAACGCGAGCTTCTTGTTCTGTTCTGCTTTGTTTTAACTCCCCGGCACCTCTCGGTGTCTGTAAAAAAGTCAACGAGTGTGGCAAACAGGTGTGCCTTTTTGCCTCTGCGAGCGCTGTGGTATGTGCTTAGATTGTTGTTATGCTGAGATAATCGTGGCGTGCCTCACGTCGGGGAAAGGTGTGTGTGGATGAGGAGCATTAAGATTTCCCATTGATTGTCCAGATGACTCAGTCTCAGAAGAGGAATCCTCCCTTGCCAGCAGGAAATTCTTTCCCTTGCTCAAAGGAGTAAGAGCCCCTGGTTGAATGTCATGCTCCAGGCTCTTCTAGTACCTATTTGTCATCACATTGGTCTCACATCCCACAAATAATCATTGGTCTGTAGCTTTCAGTATCAGAAATCGGAACAACTTTGCTGATGTTCTTGTTGATAGGTCTGCTAGGAGCTTTGACATTTAGACCACTCTGCAGTGTTCTAAATCACGGCCCCTTTAGCTGAGAGATGTCTGGAGGGTACCCTACCCTGTCAAAGCAAGCAAAAGAACTGGCCTTTAGTCATGACCTTAAACATGCATTTGAAAAAAAGAATGACTAACCCTTTCACATTTCTTCAGTGGGTAGAGATCAAAGTGGAATGGACAAACCCTCTCCTTTCCCCAGCAGAGGCCAGGAAGCACCCAGGTCCCTGCACCTCTTTCTTCTCTGGGGCTTCACACTTCTGCCAATAAGAGGACAATGATGCATACAGCCACCATCTTTGCCCGCTCTCTTCCTCTCAGTCACTGATTTCTGTGGAGTATTTGACAGAAATACTTCTGTGGAGTATTTGGCTGGCTGGATAGCTCAGTGGTTTAAGTATCTGGCTGTGGAGCTGGGAGTTGGTAATTTGGTTCTACACTGTGCCTCCTGTGAGTAGAGCCAGTCTATGTAGCCTTAGCAAGCTGCACAGTCTCAGGATCCCCTTGGGAAAAGGGAATGGTGAACTACTTTTGAGTATTTTCTACCTTAAAAAAACCCTGAAAATGAACACCTTAAGTCAGAATCAATTTGACAGCATATGATTATGATGATTTGACTACTTGGGCACAGTTCCCACCACTAGGCTGCCTAGTTTAGCCTTGTTGTTCAGAGGCTTCTCCTGCCACTTGCTGGGCTTCATGTCACTATGGCACAGCGGTTACGAGAGTCCTGGACAAAGGAGACCTGTTTCCAAACCCTCATTTGGCCATTAAACTCACTGGATGATTTCAGGAAAGGTATACCCTCTCACTCTGAGCTGCCTCACTGGCTCGTTTTATGGGAAAGGCATGCTTGCTTTGAGATGTTTGGAGGACAGGTGGGATATAAACATAACTAATAAATAGGTACTAATAAATGTGGTGTAATAGAGTGACAGACTAGGACTCAAGACCTGGGTTTGAATCCTTTCTTGGTCATGGAAGCTCACAGGTGGTTGGAGTTGAAACTGCTGAAACCCTACCATAAATACCTCACTTTCCTTGTACTCTAACGGTACACTATATGTTGGATGGGATTGGATGGCTTATAACACAATACACAAATACTAAAAGCACACAAATTAGTGATTAAAAAGATGGACAGCTGATCCTTCAATGTGTTGCTCAGAAAGAAGGGATGAGTGGGTGGGAAGGAATCAAGGTCTGCCTCCAAAAAGGATGGAAGTCCCAATCCACCTTTCAGCGGTGAGTGGGAAAAGGAGACAGGATGGGAATAATGGCTGTGTTCTTTTGCTACAAACGTCCCTGCTCTCCCACAAGCAGAACTCAAGAGGAGGCACGCACACATGCACTCGTATGTGTGTGAGAGATGTATGTGTAGGTTGTAGAACTGTTTCCTGCCTTTAGGGGATGGCTCTCTTTCCCACTCTAATTCACCCCAATGCAGGAAAAGAAGTACTGTAATCACTGTTGGATTTCTGGTCTCTCCCCACTAATACCCTTTATGTAAAAATGGTGGTAGTTAACCACTTTTAAAAAAACATTGGATCAACAAGATTTTAGGTATATAAACAGGTTTTTAAATTGATGTACAGTAAGCTTGTAAAGTAACCAGTCATCTGTTCAGCCAATTTTTTGTTCTGCTTCATGAAGGTGGATGACTTAATAGCTTTTATTCAAATTATTTCTACTTTGGGACAAACACAGAGCCAGCTGTGCTCTGAACGCCACCAACTGACATACTGTGTTTCTTTTACAGCAGCTTGACAATGTGGTGACAAATTGTTATAAAGAGTAATATAAGAAAATGTGGAAGCAGATGAATGACTTCCAGAAGTATGATTTAAGAGCTGACAACAAATGGAAAATATATCCATTTTTAGTAACAATATAATTTGTCAAGTTATCCTCACATCTCTGGTACAGTATTCAACTTCTGCATTATCTCCTGGATGGTCTGGGAATACTAGATGCTTCTGTGTTGCTGAGGCCAAGCAGGTGTGGAGTTTTGCCATGTAAGAGCAGGATATACTTACAATAAATAAACATTCTTTAGAGAGAGAGAAAAAAACATGCCCTTCCAGTTAAGACAACAATGTTCCTCTAAATTAAGGAAAGTACCTATAACTTTCTAAACCAAACGGGAAATTAAAATATCTCTGCTGTTTCAAGATATGGTTCTGGAAGAGATCTAAGGCTGAAGATCACTCAGTGACACTGTTTGGAGAACATCCAGCAGTACCAATTCATAACTAATTATTTAAATAACCATTCATTTTCCCCTTCCATACAGTTATTTGCCCATTAAGAAAGGAGTTCCAGTTCCAGTTCAGCGAGGCTAAGCAGTGGTGATTTTATCTTTATTTTATATAATTTTATATTGTTTTTTTTTTTCATTTTTGTTTAATTGAAGCTCCTATTTTACTTTCCGGCTGGAGGCATGATTTTAACCTTGGCTAAGGTTAACACAGAGATAATGACCACCGGAGCTGCCGAGTGACATTAGAAATACCTGCTGCCTCTGTATTACAAAATTACACAACTGAAGCCTTGGGAAGAAAACAAACAAACAAACAAACAAAACACCATTACTGCAGACAGTAAGCACCTGCTCGAATCAAGTCCGCAAGAAAAGCATTTACTTTGTCTAAGAAAAGCCACCTGCCTTTGGAGGGTTGTTCGCCATATAGCAGGGGCCCTGATCTGCCGTCTTCGTCAATCTACAATTGGCTCACAGTTAGTAAAAGTCCTCCAAGGAACAGAGTGGAATAACCTGCCTTTTAATGGTTTGTGTTTGAAGTGTTTACCAGGGCTAAGAAGTTTTCTATACAGCTGCTACTGATTGTAACTGTGAAACCCATATTCCTCTCCCTTTGAGTGAAAGTTTGTACCTGCAGAAGTAGAAGGGGATACTAAAAGGTAAAGGTAAAAGGTTCCCCTTGACAATTTTTGTCCAGTCGTGTTCGACTCTAGGGGGCGGTGCTCATCCCTGTTTCCAAGCCATAGAGCCAGCGTTTGTCCAAAGACAATCTTCCGTGGTCATATGGCCAGTGCGACTTAGACACGGAACGCTGTTACCTTCCCACCAAGGTAAGAAATCGGCAATTGGTCTCTGGACCCAGAACTCCTAGAGAAGGCTATCTCTGCCTCTATGGAATCATTCTATAAACACCTAAATCTATCAACACCCGGACCCAATGAGAACCATATGGAAGGAAAAATAGGTCCCCAACATGCTCAAGGGCTCAAGAGTGAACAAACTAGGATTATTTACACCCAACTACGTGATCAGTGCTTCCTCTCAGCCAAATCCAACCAAACCATCTTCAATAAGCGGCATGTTCTAAAGAAAGAAGTCACTGATATTAAAACAACACTATAATGCATTGCTGACATGATAAA